GGATCGCACAAGAGATTGTTCTTTTCTCCTTACCCCCAAGGAGGGATTTATGATTGCATGAGGGGAAGATGAAGATACTTTCTAGAGAATTCTAAAATAAAACAAAAAATTATTAATTAAAAAAATTCAGGAATTTTTAAAGCCAAAAAACATTTAATAATAATAAATAAAGTATTAAAAAAATTTATAAGAGGCTGTGCAATAATTGGCGCACTAAGGCCAAACATCTTTCCGAAAAAAAAAAAAAACATAATTAATATGAGGCGGCGGCAAAAAAACAAAACCTGCGGGGAGGCGGAAGGACAAGGGCATTTCCATAAAAATAAAAAAATAAATAAATAAAATCTGTTATAATATTAATAACATGTACAAGCGGCGGCAAGCCTTATATAGTTATATATGAATATTTTAATTGATATATTCCAACTTGAATAATGTTATACAAACGTTATGGTGCCTATGCAGGTTAAGAAATAATGAATCAAGAAGTGAACTATTATATATATGCAAGAGAATATATATAATTATATATCATATATAAATCATGACGTAAAAAAAATTATGAAGCTAACATTTTACAATACTATATAAATTGTAATATACTATATAAGTTTATACACTATATAACCTATAATAATTTATAAATTGGTTACACATATTTTTATCAATTTTTATATGTAATTCACTTTTAAATGACAATTTATTCGAATAACTACTACATGATATAAACCGAAAATTACAATTGCTATATTTAATGTTACTATAATGACATATAGTAACATTTTTACTAGATATTACTATATACATTGGCCATTCCACTATAATGTTATAAACATGTCACATCTTCATATCATTTATACATTCCAATTTATGAATGATATGAATACTATGATATGGGTTGTGTATCATCGTCTATACAAATATATATATTATTTATAAGTAATAATTCAGCTCAAGTTATTATTGTGCATAAAATTATAACAATCGGAGTAAGCTTATCAATTATATAACTCAACCTCATAGGGCTATAATAACTTAACAAACATCATGATTGTTATAACCGATACAATAACTTAGAGGCAGCAACACTATTACAGCTTAAAGGTGGATGGCATTTAGGCGGATAACGTACTTGGAGTATATTTTTGAATTCCGTAAGCTTCGAAAAGAAAAAAATAAGGGGCAACTGATATATCATCAAAAATTTATCTTGATCGGGCATGTATCTCGAGGAAAAATTGAGTTTAAAGTTTTCAAAATTAAATGTGGAACTATCCAAACACCAATTTCATCAAATTTATAGTCAAATTAAACGTTTCGAAAAGACAAATCCAACGACACCAAAATCAGTCCAATCTAAGCCCAAATCAAGGGTTCAAAGCACTTTTCGAATGTTCAAACTATAATTTAAATTACCAAACAAATTCTAAACAGGACATGCTTATAGTCAAATCGAGCGGCTCGACGAGACGAATCCAACAAGCTCAAGATCACCAAATTCTGATATCATTAAGGCATTCAAAGGATTAGTAAACAATTCACAATCAATGGGATCAATATTGACCATCCATTCAAACCACTCCCATCTTGACCTTGGTCCTCCCCATATTACAAGTCATGCCACTCTAAGAAACCTATAAATAGGCCACATTCTTCACATGAAAAAGAGGAAGAAAGGAGGAGGAGAATGGAAGAATTTGGGAGTTTGCTTGCCGCCTACCACCACCAGAGTTCTTTATGACCACCGTCAAACTTTCGTCTATCTGCCGACCATCGGCGAAGTTCTTCCCGACCACAGGCCGTCTTTCACCATTCCGCCAATCACCGCCAAACTTCCTACCATCCACTGACCACCGCTAAACTTCCGCCAGTTTGCCGACCACTACCAGACTTCTAGCCGTCCGCTGACCACCACTGGACTTCCACTCATTTGTTGACAACTATCGAAGTTCTTCTCAACCACCATCAGACTTTTGCCTATCCGCCGACCACTGGTGGAGTTCTTCCCAACCATCGCCAGACTTCCACCCATCTGACAACCACTATCGGAGTTCTTCCCGACCACCGCCAGACTTCTACCAGTCCACTGATCACTATCGAAGTTCTTCCTGACCATCGACACACTTTAGCCAGTCTGTCGACCACCACCAGACTTCTGCCAGTTTGTTGACCATTGACACACTTTCGCCAGTCCGGCGACTACCTTCGGACTTCTACCAGTCCACTAACCATTGTCGGACTTCCATTCGTTTGTTGACCACCACCGAAGTTCTTCCCAATCACCAAAAAACTTGAACCAGTTCATCAACCTCTTCCAGGGTTCTTCCTGACCACCACCATACTTCCTCTAGTTCTTCGAGCACCACCAGACTTTCCCCAATTCATCGACCACTATCGGGCATCCATCTATTTATCGACCACCGCTACTTTCGTCTGTTCGTCGATCACCGCCGGAGTTCTTTCTGACCACCGCCGAACTTTCACATGTTCGTCGACCACTTTCGGAGTTCTTCCTAACCACCACCGGACTTCTGCCAAAGTTCTTCTCGATCGTTGCAGGACTTATGTCTATTTGTCTACCATTGTCGGACTCCCGCCTCCTCGTCGACCACCACCAAAATTCTTCTTTACCGTCAACGGACTTCCACCAATTCATTGATCACCTATTGTCCTTTCAACCACCGTCTTTCGCTGACTACGGTCCTTCCAACCCCCATCGCCGACTACAATCATTTTGACCCCTGTCGTTTAACAATGGTCCTCCTGACCTCTGTCATCCACCAACTACAGTCCTTTCGACCACCGTCGCCGGCCGGCTAGGCCATTTCGACCATCGTCGCCTGACTACGATCCTCCCGACCTTCTTCTCCCGCCTACTATGGTCCTTCAATGCCAACTATGTCCTTCTAATCTTCGCCACCCACGACTACGATCCTTTTGACCACCATCATCCAACTACAGCCCTCCTGACCTCCGTCGCACACCTACTACGGTCCTTCCAACCACCATCACCTGCTAACTACAATTCTTCTGACCATCGTTACCTGCCAACTACTATCCTTTAGACCACCTTCACCTGATTACGATCTTTTTGACCTCCATCACCCGATTACGATTCTTCCGACCTACATCGCTAGCTGACTATGGTCATACCGTCCAAAAAAAACATATCAACATTGATTCTTTCAACTCCTACCATATAATGCACTATATATGATGCATATTTGCTACATTGAGCCATAACCTTCCTCGTAAGGAAGTGCCTCATTTGTAATCAATCGTAAACACTAGTGGATTCATTCAAACTAGGCCAAATCTCAAGGGTTTTTCCCCTTTTTAGGGGTTTTCACATGAAAATTTTGGTGTCTCTTATGAGGGTTGCACCCCTACTCATTTATATGTTTGTGTGCTGGATATCGTACAAAGCCAAGATGGAAAACTTTATATCTCTTTACCGCCGCGAATATTACAGGACGCAACAACGGTCAAAACAGGACGACTATAATATTTTATAATGTTAATTATGATGTTCTTGTAGAGAAAGTAACTTACTTATTTTGGCTGCAAAAAATAGTTTTTATTGCAGAAATTTTTTATAAAGCAATGAGAAAGCTATAGTTAAAAAAAATTGTGATTGATATCTATAAAGTCAAAGCAACAAAAAAACTGTCCCAAACGAACCCGATGTTTTGCTTTTTGCTCTCAACTAGTTGTCTTTCAACTACCAATTTTAAAATGTATTCTCCAAATTCAGCATATTAAATCATACGATACTGCTTTATTTACATGATTGTACATTAAATCTAAATTTGAAGTCATTCACATTGTTTGTACCATACAATGAAAAACAAAATCATGATTCCCAAAGAAAAATTTATGTACATCTGCAAAAACATTTTTTCCTTGTGTTTTCCAGTAGGCAAATACCAACCAGAATTCCTTGATAAGGACTACGTTTTGATTGAACATTAGGCTTTCTTTGCCAACCTTATTCCTCTATTACCAGGAGAAAGTTCAGACAATCTAGGTATTGCTACTCGTTTTAAAGCAAAAGCAATATATTTAAAACCTCAATACTTTGAGGTGATTAGTACCTTTAGCTACAAATCTGCCATTCAATCTCTTATTTTTTAAATATATTTTGAGTTTGTTTGGGATAATTTTTTGCTGCTTCTTAAAACAACTTTTTAGTACCAAAACTTTATTTTTTTTTTATTAAAAAATTACATTAAGAAGCAGAATCAATTATTCTTTTTTCTCTCAATTACAATATGTGATGTTTAATTTATTTCCCTTCATCGTGTATTGTTCTTAACTCAACAAGGTGATTCTGCTTTTTAATAGTTACAATTATCTTAAAATATTTATCGGTAGTGATTCTAAAATATCAAATCCAATGATTAAACCATCTTTTGTCACATGGATAGTTTAAGAAGCATTGAAAACAAGGTGTCATAAATATTAATGATGTTAAAAATGAATTTAAATTATAAATCACAAAAGGTTTTTTTTTTTTCTTTTTCTTTTTTAAATTGAATTTAGGTATATCTTTGTCATGGGAGTCCAGGATATTTAATACATTCGATATTATCAATACATCAACACTATCAGCCAAATAGCAAACCTCTTTGTCAAACCATTTGATGGTTATGCTTATTGTCGATTTCTTTGCAAGTTGGGCATTCTTTACATTTAAGTTACTACTCTAACTTCAGGGATAATATTGGACCAAAACTACGGAGGAGGATTTCAAATGTTCACATCACCCAAATTTTTGGGCTTAAAAATGGTAAAATGTTATTATTATTATTATTAGTAAATTTACTTGCGTTGCCTTTATCACTATATTAGATTATCAATTCCCTATATTTTCTTATATTTTAATTTTATGATTTTTTCTATATGTATTTAGTATTTGAATGAAAGAATAAGATTTATAATAACATTTTTATCCTTCTTTGTGTTTATCATTTTCACATCTAAATAAAATTCACTCTTAAATGGCAGACTCAAATCTCCCTTCCCAAGTAGAAATCCCTACCTTCAAACCCCTACCCTTCATTGCCCACCTTCGTTATCATGGCATCCTCCGAAAAATAGGCAAATGGAGATCAGAAGTTTACAGTTGGCGTGATTCTAAACTCATATATCTCGGTATCTATTCTAAGCCAGAAATGGCCGCCATTGCTTATGATGTGGCTGCGCTCGCGTTCAACGGAGACAAAGCAGTGTTAAATTTTCCTGATGCAATATGGTCACATCCGGTGCCAAAATCGAATTCAATTGTTGATATTAAAGCTGCAGCAGCCTTAGCAGCAAAACAGTTTGGTTCGAGGCTTGAGGGTGTTGATGCATCTAAGGTGTGTTAGTTGAAACTTTTTGTGAAAATTAGTTTTGACCCGATTAAACTTTTTGTTCTAGTTTAAGTTTTGATGAGGAATACGGAAATGAGATTTATAATTTTCTCAAGGAGTCATATCAAATCAAATTATTAAATCACATTTGTCACATGGATGGTTTAGGAGGCGTTAAAAACTGCATCAAAAATATTGATGATGCTAAAAAGGAATTTAATTTATAAACCATAAAAGGTTTTTTCATTTTTTTTTAAATTGAATTTAATAACACGAGATTTTTTATATATAGAAAAGAGAATATAATGATAAAAGAAATACAATCATTAGTACAACAACATCAAGCCTTTCTAGATATAATAAAGTAGTAATAATTTCATATTCCTACAATAAATATTTAAGTATATGTAATAATAAAGGCATAGTAATTATAAACCTACAAATTCAAGAAATATTGTAATAATAATAGATCTAGGCAATATGAGGGAGTGAACCAATAATAATTGGTGACCTTCTTTGAGCGATAAGTAGGTAAGCACAAGATTGAAAATATCATAAAAGGCAAAAGCGAGAAAAAGAGTCTAGGCAGTCCAATAGTTTGGTGAACTAAGCCATGATAATATGGAAAGTACAATCATATAAGATTTGTATATAATAATGGGGATGATGGATTAGAAGATGGAGAAGGTACAAGATCTTGACAAGGGGATGGAGGAGAAGTCATAGAGTGAGGAGGGAGGTTCAAGTTTTTGATGGAGGCTAAGGAAAAGAAGTCAAAGAAGTGCGTGTAAGATATGATGAAACCGATAAAGTTGTATTATTAAGAGATTTTAAGGAGGAAGGTATTAACATTGATACGGACCATGAAAACTGTGACATTGAGAAAGGTATTTTCAAAATTCTTTTCTTTTAGTGTGGAGATCAAATCAAAGAGTATTGATCTTTGATTTAATTTAAGATGGCTAAGTGGAGAAGCCAAAATAGAGGATGGTGATGAGGAACATGAAATTCAAGATTGATGATAGCACTCCATTGATATCCTTGCCACGGGAGTCCAGGATACATTAGTCCATTACTGATGGGGTACTAAGATGCTTTAAGAGAGATTGGTGGCTAAAAATAAGAAATAAGAAATCTTATGGGTTTGATGTGTTGGTAGAGAAAGAGATAGATTATATTGGTGAAAAAAAAGGAAAAATAGCGGTAATGAAGTTCATGGTGACGATTGAAAGTGTATGGGATTAGAGAGGAGCCTTTAATCAAAGTTCTTATCCCATGACGACGATAATAAAAGGCAATATCTTTTTATTAATTGAGCATGCTAATATAAGCTTTTCTATATATGCAAGAGGAAATAACAAAAAAAAAACATCTGAATAAAAAATATCATCCATAATGAATATATATACATACAATTATGATTATTGAAAATTCTTATAATAAATATTTAATACATTTGATATTATCCATATGGTAACATTATCAGGCAAATAGCAAACCTCTTTGCCAAACCACTTGATGGTCATGCTTTTTGTCAATTTTTTTTGCAAGTTGGGCATTCTTGACGTTGCAATTACTACTCTAACTTCAAGGATAATATTGGACCAAAACTATGGAATAGGATTTTGAATGTTTATGTCACCCAAATATTTAGGCTTAAAAATAGTAAAATATTATTATTATTATTATTATATATTTACTTGCATTGCCTTTATTACTATAATAGGTTATCTATTCCCTATATTTTCTTATATTTGAATTATATATATATCTTCACTCTTAAATGGCATACTCAAATCTCCCTTCCCAAGTAGAAATCCCTTCCTCCAATACCCCACCCATCATTCCACCCTCATTATCATGGCATCTACTCACGAAGAGGCAAATTGACATTAGAAGTTTATAGTTGGTGTGATTCTAAAATCATATATATCAGTGCCTATTCCACGCCAGAAACGGCCACCATTGCATATGATGTGACTGCACTCACGTTCAATGGGGACAACACGGTGGTTAATTTTCCTGATGCAATACGGTCACATCCCGTGCCAAAATTGACTTCAGTTGTTGATATTCAAACTGCAACAGCCATAGCAGAAACATAGTTTGGTGCGAGGCCTTTGGCTTTGGATGCATATGAGGTGCCATCACTGGAGATATGTGAGTATATGTGGATGAGGAGGAACTATTCAACATGCCACAATTGTTGATTGAGATGGCAGAGGGATTGATGGTGAGTCCACCAAGATTGGGCTCTCTAGAGTTTGATGAGCCGCTAGAAGTCTTGGAAGATGATAATTTATGTAATTTGATGTACAAAAAAATAATGGCATCTCAGGCTATCATTAAGAAAATTAGCTTAGAATATTCTCATAAAATTTTTCATTAGTAAAATTTACAATTGCTCAATTTATTTAGATATTAGTAAGTTAGAAATTTTCATTTATTCATATTTCTTATTTTTTCTTAAAATCAATTTTTATTCTTAGTTCTCTTTCATTTTCCAATTTCCCCACTGAATTAATTTTTATGGAGTTCAAGTCTTCTTCCTCAAATTGGGTTGAATTGGAAAATGTTTTTGTTCATGCAAATGAATTTTTCTTCCTCTCCATCAAGAATGTGTAAATCTCAAAAATAAAGAGGCTGAGTTCTTCTTTCCTTAGAACTTGTCAACATATTAACTTGGAAGATTTAACCCTTTCATGTCATAATGCGGCTAAATGGATGAACAAAAATCACATAGAAAGTTAATTCTTTATAAAAAAAATTATAAATGATTTTTTTAATTAAAATCACACTTTTTTATATTCACATCAACAAATTATAATCTATAAGTTTGAGCTTCTTTTGCAGACTTCAAAGCATCCATTTACCGATTTTCGTGTATTCAAATATAACATATGAATTGCATGCGAGCAAATATATATAACACTTTGTATATAATGTACATGAATTATAAAATATTAAATGTGATGGGCCAAAAAAATTGGAAATATAAGGTCACAATTTTTTGGCGTAACAAAGTCATAATTAATCATTAGTCATGTATTCTTATAAAATGTGAGTTTAACATTTTAGGCGTAGTTCTTTTGAGAGCCTCTTTGTTCTCAAAGTAACCCAACTCCTAAGCATCAACCATCAACCTAGCCACTAGCTCCGCTCTCGCACTTGTTGTTGGCTTCCAGCTACTGACTTTTTCGGCCTTCTACACTATCAAAGCCCTAGTCAACATCTTTTCAGTGGCACTATTTCCTATTCAAGTTTTTGTTGCTTCCTCTCTTTCACTACATAGGTCGACAATTTTGTTTTTATTTGTTCCATCCTCACTAAAGAGGCTTTATTTTCCTCCTCTTTTAAAGTTTAGTGCCCCTAGCTATGTTCCCAAAATGGCAAGGAGCCAAGGAATAAGTTTCATAGATTTATTAATTTTAAATGGTACAATTGTCACTTCATATGTTTATTTTAGATGAAACAAGTATAACCCCATAGGTTTATCTTAAATAAAGTAAGTTTTACTCCTTTAATGAGTGTGATTTATTATATTTTTATTTTATTTTATATGGATATCATATATCATAATTGGATTTACATGCAATATATTACTTCCAAGAAGAAGAGGCTTAAGAAATAATTTTTACATAGAGTTCAATTAATTATAGTTTTCACATGTTAATAACAAATTATTCTTGAGTGTAAAATTGGATTTAAAAATATGAAACATAAGAATCAAATTTTACAATTAATTAATAATGTGTGAATTTATATAAAAGAGGGTTTCTATTGAATTATTTATATTGGACAACTCACGACAAATATGATCATGAGATATATAGAAATACACAATTAACATGCGGAGGAAACAAGGGTTCCATTAACATACATAATGAACAATGAAATAAAATTAATGGCATGGTTTATGAGAATGCTTTAAAAATTGGATTGGACCGATCGATTCAACCGTTTGAATAGTGAACCTGTTCGTTGGCCAGTCCGAAATTTTGTAAAAATCGTTTTACCCATAAACTGGATTGAACCGGCGAACCGGTGCTAGATTTCAAAAAACGGTTCGAGTAATATTTTATTAAATGAAATATTTAATATTTTATTGTTAAATATTTGATAAATAAAAGGAGTCAGAAAACTTATATGAACAAAAAAATGCCCAATATATTAAGGCCCAACATAACAACTCTGCCACACCAGGGAATGTGAAAGGAATTTATCTACTTCACTACACCAGGGAAGGTGAAAGGGATTACCATACCTGGGAAGGTGAAAGAAATTTTGATTCTCAACCATACTGAAGGTGGAAGTAATTTTATGAGGGTTTCTCTACTTAATTGTTTACTATAATACTCATAGAGAAGGATTCTGGGGAGTGGACACAGGTCAAGTTAATGAAACTACTACAAAATTCTGGTGTGTTTGTTCCTTTAATTTCCACACTTTTTCTTTTATGATTTATTTTGTTTCATATTTATTTTTCTGCAATTTAGTTTGTATTAGTGATTATTATGATACATGACTTGTGGTTAATTGAGTTTATTTCTTAGTTGAAAAATAAATAAAAATTAGAAAATAAAAAGAACAAAAAAAATTATTTTTCTAAAAAAAAATTAAAAGACAAAATGTTTCATTATTTGCTTCTGCATTAAGAAAATATTATTTTGATTTTAAGTTTGAGAAATTAGTTTTGATTTTAAAAAAATAAAAAAATATTTTAAAAACACCAATTCACCTCCCTCTTAATGTGTCGTTCAATAATTTATGTGGTTTCACATCCTTATTCACTTGAAGAACAAGAATTATCAATTCATTTACAATGTTTATTTTGTGTCAAATATGAAGAGTAATATATTGAGTTTAAGAGAACTTCTAGAGAAAGAATATGATATTAATTTAAAAGACAATTTTCTTTTCTTAAGATATAATATTGACAATTTAATTACAAAGGTATGTCCAAATGTCATTAAATAGAATGTTCTTGCTAACTATTCAAAATGATTTTTTCAAGT